ACTTACCATTTATGGTCATGGGCAAAAGACAGGCTCAACTTGGGGAAGAACCAAAATCAATTTAATTTACTACCAATCAAATCAAAACAAGGATAATGAGAAGTAAACCCAAACCTTAGAACACCTTCCCCCACCCCTCCCTCCTTCCTGGCTCAACTCCACTCATTATTTTCTCTGCCACCTCCTCTCCCCAGCAGCACAGGGGGATGAGGAATGGGGGTTGGGGTCAGTTCATCACACCTTGTCTCTGCTGCTCCTTCCTCCTCAGGGGGAGGACTCCTCACTCTTCCCCTGCTCCACCATGGGGTCCCTCCCACAGGAGACAGTCCTTCACAAACTTTTCCAGCATCAGTCACAGACTGCTCCAGTGCAGGCTTTCCCATGGAGTCACGGCCATCTCCGGGGGCATCCCCCTGCTCTGATGTGGGCCCCTCCCTGGGCTGCAGGTGGGCATCTGCTCCCCCGCTCCCCTCCATGGGTTGGGGGGGGGACAGCCTGCCATCTCACCATGGGCTGCAGGGGCATCCCCTCCTCTGGCACACCTCCTCCCCTCCTTCTGCACTGACCTCGGGGTCTGCAGAGGTGTTCCTCTCACATTCCAGTCTTCTCCCCCACTGTAGGTGGTTCTTAAATACATTATCCCAGAGGCACTACCCCCATCACTAATGGGGTTGGGGTTGGCCTTGGCCAGAGGCAGGTCCAACTTGGAGCTGGGGAAGCTTCTAGCAGCTTCTCACAGGAGCCACCCCTGCAGCCCCTCCCCTGCTACCAAAATCCCGCCACACAAACCCAATACACATGGACAGAATATGCTTTTAAAAATTATTCTAAGAATTCATTTGAAAACTTAATCCTTCAAAATAAAGTTTTTGATTGTAGTTGTTTTGATCTTACGCTCTTGAAATGAAGAATGCCAATACATATTTTTTCACAATTAAAATGACTTATGTAGGCTCTCAGAGATTGTTTAATGACAGTTTGGCTGAGCAAAAAGGTGTAGCTAAGTTACACATTAAGTCCACTCAAGTTCTAGCAGAGAATTTTGTGATTATTTTTTCTTTTGCAATGTCAAAGTTTTTAATCATTATTAACATATCTGAATTTTAAGAACTTTAATTCAGACTTAGCATTATCATGGCTCTCTTCTTTTTATAGCAAACATGTGAAAAAGTGCTTGACCTTGTGTGCTGTATTTCACTTCCAATACAAGAAGGAGGTAAAGTACAAGAGGAGCAACCTAAAGTGAAGTCTAAATTCAGGAAAGGTATGGAGTTGCTACTGCCCTAAACTCAGTATCAGCTCAATTTTAGTTCATGTGTTTCAGCTGAGTATGTAATTCTTCTCTTTTTGTATTACGAAAAGGGAGGAAGTTCTTTATCCCTCTTGTTTTTGTGAGTGGTTTTCCTGCTGGTACCTGTTAAAGTATATTGGTGACAAAGTCCTACCACGGGAAAAGAGAAATGAAGAAAAAATTTTAAAATGTGTAACTTCATGTGTTGAATCATTCGTAATTTACCTTCAAAGTTTTCCCCCCTACCTGAGATTTGACAACTGTAGATTTGTTTTGCTCCGTTCTAATTTCATTCAAACTTAGATAAGCATGAGACCCCTAAAGAAGTGTATGATAAACTGTTCTGTTGCAGGGTCTGATTTGAAGCTTTGGCCATGTACCAGTAGAGCTATCATGCCCTACTGCCTTCATCTATTGTTAGCTTGTTTCAAGGTAAGCTGTAGTCAACGCTTGAAATTCTCTTGTGTCTTTAAGGCCTAGTTTATGTATCTGGGGTCCTGAGACTGCATAGCCTTATCCCAGTAGTGTGACTAGGAGTGAAGGGCTGTTCTTGACTCAAGTGCTTCTTACCTAAATGGGTTTGTGACGGGTCTTTTTTGCAGGGGGAGGGAGTGTTGGTGGAGGACGGTTTGTTCTCTCTTTTTTTCTCTTCTATTCATTTTAGTTTGGGCAGAGGAGATAGAATTAATCTCAAATATTTTTGTCTGTATTCAGACTTCTTTTATAGGTCAGTGGAGAGAATGTGGTATTTTGGCTGGAAATTTCCAGCCTATTTTAAATGTATATACTAGTGCAGAATGAAGTATGCTCCTGAAGAACTTTTGTATTTGCACAGATGTAGGTGAGATGAATCCCATATATTTTTAAAAGCAACATGTGTTTCCTGGTTGTCTCAATGTCAGTTTTTTCCCTGAAGCTCAGAGCTTTCACAGACAGCAGAGACGATATGGCGCTGGGCCACGTAGTTGTTCTGCTTCAGCATGAATGGCCAAGGGGTGAGAATTTGTTCCTGAAAGCCATCAACAAAATCTGCCAACAAGGAAACTTCCAGTATGAGAATTTTTTCAACTACGTCACAAGTATCCTTTCTCTAACCAAGAATGTCTTTCACATCAAAAACTGTGTGCTGGGGTGTTGAAAAAGCTGTTAGTTTCAGCAGCAGCTCTCTCCGTGAATCATATTCTGTTTTTATTTCTATACCATGCAAGCTTCTTGTAATATGTGGCAGTGCACAATGGACTATAAATATGCCTCCTGTCACCTGTTCCGGCACATAGGAGTACCCTTAAGTACACTGCAATTGCACTTCCATTCAGAAAAACAGCAGCAGCTTGGGTTGCTCGTGCAAGTGATGGCAGTCTTTTTCAGTAAGATATATAGGGCATTGTACTACAAGGTTGTTAACAAAAATGATAAAGTGGTACCTATGCTTCAAAGAGTTGAATGATTTTGGCTATTGTTTATGAAATGCTTTGTGTGGGTAAGATTTTTTGGTTGAGTAAGATAATGAGCTATGTCAAAGTCCACGCAAAGCACATCTAATTTCTATATTTAGGTTATCTGACATACGTTTTCATCAGCATACACACGTGGACAATTTAGTGTTTAACCTAAAGAGACATCCAGTCATGGTCCCCAGGAAGCAAGGGGTCTAACTCCTATCTGAGACAACTAAAAAAGCCCTGGTGTTAAAGGAAGGGAAAAAAAAAGAATAAAAGCTAAATAAGGGACCAAAATAGAAAACTAAAAATGGTGGTATGTGCCACCATGGTGGCATTTCCTTCAGTCCCAGCCTCCGTATGCACTGCTTTGATAATCTGCAATGCAGGAAAAGGAAGTAAAAACAACCAGGGAATTTGTTTGGAGAGATGTGCTTTCTTTACCTCTGTCTAGCTATACATAAGAAGAAATGAAGAAAGGAAAGAAATTGACTGATGTGTGTATTTTGCACTTTAAAAAGCCATTTCTCATGAATTTGTGGAGGATTAGGAATACCTGCTATGATTATCCTTATCATTTTTGAGATACTTCAATAGTTGTTCATTTTGACTGTCCTTTCAGCAATGTGGCTTCAGATGTGAGGGGTAAGAAGGAATGTTCTCTATCATTTTTTCCCTACTCAAATCTTTAACGTTTTCTTCAGATATTGATATGTTGGAGGAATTTGCCTATTTAAGAACACAGGAAGGAGGGAAAATCCATCTGGAACTGCTGCCAAATCAAGCAATGTTGATCAAGTAAGCATAAAAAAGCATTTACTGGTTGTCTTTGCTCTCATGTAATCTTCTGGACAGTAAGTTTGTCATGTCTTTCAGTTTAAATTTAAGGAGTTGGCTAAGGAGTTCAAACAAGGCTGTGAGTTTCTTTTTCTGACTCTCCTGCTGATCTGTGAATGCTTTTTGGGGGTTCTTCAACTTTAAACTCCTACTTTTACAGAACTTTATTTTTAAGTGTGGCATTTGCTTTAGAATGATTCAGACACTTGCACTTTGCAGGAATTCTTTAAATAATTAGGCATGAGTGCAAGGTGGTGTTAATAATTTTGCTGAACAGTAATGCTGAACAGAAAGCACTATTTGTTGTAAACAAAGTTATGAAAGGCCACTGAATGATGGAAAAACAAGTATAAGACATAAATTAAATTAGACTCCAGGTAAACTCTAATAACCTTTCTGTCAGAACTAGCAGGTCATCTCTTGCTATGTACTGAACAAGCTTACTCTGCTTAGCTTATTACGAGATGCTGAAGGAAATTAATAATTTGGATTAACTTCCTAGGTGTTCTTAGTTTTGGGTCAAGACTGAACAAGTATCTGCTGTAGGGTTTTAGTGGCAGAATGTTTTGGAATATCCTGGTTGTTTATTAGAACTTGTGGTATTTTGCTTTGTAAGAGGGGGACTGCTAAAGTTTGTTGAAATTCCAGTTTGGGTCAATGTATTCTGGCTATTCATTAACTAGAAATGGGCTAAAGTTTTCAAAAAATGGGAGCCTAACATTAGACAACTGGATCCAAATTTGGACTAGTAAATAGATTTTCCAGAGTTCTAGGTAACCAACACAAAAATGAGATACTAGGTATAATTAAAGAAAAGAAGAAATGCAAATGCTTAATTATGTGACAGAATTTTCTCTTTTAAGCTCTAGATTTTCAAACTCTTATCCTTGCTATATCTCACTGCTTGTAACCAGCTGTATGAAAACAAGAGTCAGGGTATGCTGCACTACGTATGATGTTAAGTAATAAGCTTTGTCAGCAGGAGGGCTTAGCACTGAAGACTACGCCTGGTAACTTCTTAGCTGCTATTTCAAGTTAGTTGCAATAATTCAGTGCCATTTCTCTGTGTCATGGCTTTTAGTTTGATTGGTGTGGTAGCTGTTACTTACTGTTCTGACTCCACCAGTCAGGAAGTAGGTAGCCAGCAGTGTTTCTAGCAAGACAGGAATATGTCTTTGACCTCCTTTTGACCAGTGTTATGTTTCCTGAATGATGGAAATGCTTGTAGAAGAGCGGTCCATTTCTTTCTGCTTATTCAGCCAAAACGGCCAAATATCCCGTCCAGCTGGAAAAGCTGTGTACAGTGTCTGTGTCTCTTATGTGGCTGAGATGTGTAGGACAGGAACCACTTCATCGGAGAGCTCATGGGAGGGAGAGTTCAGGGTGTAGTCCATTAATTGGAGATGACGTCTACTCCCCTGGTACCCCAGATATTTTTTTAGCTGGACTAGGTATGAGGCTCAGGGATGGTGTCACTCAACACTGTTGACCTCAGCAACACTAGTTAGCTCATGGTCTCCCCCAGCTAGGGTTTTAGATAAAGTGCTCCAGCACAGCTCCGTTTCCTGGGTCAGTGGTTGCTAGTCTCAAAATCTGCAGACTGGCTTTCATCTTTCAAAACTACCACCAGTTCTGGTTGTATGAGCTGCTGCACTATCCCAGTAATTAGCTGAGGCAGCTTAGATACTATTCAGTCATGCACAGGAAGACTCTGTGAGTTTGCCACAGCAGTCCAAAGATGAAGTCGTTGCTCCTTTGCCTGATCTTTCCTCAGCATAAATGTACGTAGCAATCCTGCATCTTAATTGATGGGAAATGTATTACAGGTATTACATGGTTTTTATAAGGACAGCTTTTTGTTTCATGACTTAGAGGACTTTTTCTCCCCAGGTGAATTCCACATTCTTCCAGTACTTTTCCTCAGTACCTTATACTTTATAGGAAATGATATTCATTTTTCTGAACCCAGGAAAGCAAACTGCAATGTGGTTTTCAAAAGCTGAAGGAAGATCTTGGCAGCCTGCAGACTTATAATTGGGTCCTGCAAAATATATATACATATAGCTTTGTATATACAAGCTTGTAAGCTTTCCCTTTGCTTGTATCCATTGTGGGAATATGAAGGTCCGTGGTTTTGGTTTTAACTGGTGATATAGCCAGCTCATTCTGTTTGCACTGTCAACAAGACTTCTACGATGAGCTTGGAATGCAACCACTAAGTGCCTCTGAACTCCATTCTAGACAAGCCAAGTTTCATAGTTTTACTGATTATACATGTCAGTAGTGGCAGTGTTAACTAGTGAGGTTAAAGAGGAAAAGAACAATATGCAAGGAATGACTGATTAATATCATGCTCCACTTTTTGATAAGTCTTACTCTAATTAGTCTAATCTTAGCATACCAAACTGTGTAAACTTGATGTGAAAGCTGTTGAGTGTTCTGCCTCTACTCACATTCCCATCACATCTCCCTTTGGGGACAGAGAAGGAAAAGCTCAGTTGGTTTGAAGTGGAACAGTATCTTGAAAGTGTAATTTTTATTCTGATTGTGCACTTGGGTATGTTTAGTTCTGACTGCAGATCTTGCAAACAGTAATGAAGACACCATTGCACAGAATCCCTTTTGCAAACATCTGCCACTCTGGGACTAATAACATCTTGCTGTTGCTTTGTATTTTCTGTTCCCCTTGTCCATTTTTGCAAGTAGTGGACTCGTTGACACCAAGAACTCTTGAAAAATTATCTCATTTGAGGAATTCTTGTGAATATTTTATTTCGGGTTATTGTAGCTGTACTGGAGTGTTTCTGTACTACTAAAATGCCCCATCTTTGACTTTTATAAGCATAGCTCTCCATCCATATTCATTAATAAATTATAGATACTAACCAAAATGCCCACCTGTGAAATCTGAAGGTAGGCACCTAACTCAATATTATAGGCATGTAAGTGCGAGTCTTGCTTCTCTGCTCCCTTCTTAGCATCTATGGGGATGAACGATGCACTCGGTACTTGGGTGCCTAATAAGATTTAGGTGACATTTTGAAAGACTTAGGGTCAGAAACTATACCTGTTCTGTATATACCAAATTTCTCATTTCTCCTTAGGTGGGGTGTTGGATTTGCTCTAAGCTGGATGTGTGAGGTTATTATCTTGTGTTATAGAAAGCACATGTAGATAAGGACTTAACTTCACTGAGAAGACAAACTGTCTTTCAGCTGAGATGCCTGTTGTGGTTTAACCCCAGCCAGCAACTAAGCACCACGCAGCTGCTCACTCACTCCCCCCCATCCAGTGGGATGGGGGAGAAAATCAGGAAAAGAAGTAAAACTCCTGGGTTGAGATAAGAACGGTTTAATAGAACAGAAAAGAAGAAACTGATAATGATAATGATAACACTAATAAAATGACAACAGTAGTAATAAAAGGATTGAAATGTACAAATGATGCGCAGGGCAATTGCCCCCCCCCCGCCGACCGACACCCAGCCAGTTCCCGAGCGGCGAATCCCTGCCCCCCACTTCCCGGTTCCTAAACTAGATGGGACGTCACATGGTATGCAATACACTGTTGGCCAGTTTGGGTCAGGTGCCCTGGCTGGGCATGAGAAGCTGAAAAATCCTTGACTCTAGTCTAAACACTACTGAGCAACAACTGAAAACATCAGTGTTATCAACATTCTTCTCATACTGAACTCAAAACATAGCACTGTACCAGCTACTAGGAAGACAGGTAACTCTATCCCAGCTGAAACCAGGACAGTGCCTTTTGGTGGCTAGTTCATGTGGCCCTCCTAGTCATAAATGGGAGGTTGCTCTGAGTGGGCATTTGTGCTCTGACATTGTGACGTCCTCTAACAGCCGTTTTTGTATGCAGTTTGAGTTTGAAAAGGTGAAAAAGGCCATCTGTGGGCTAATGAAAAGATACTTAGGCAACCTGTAACAAACACTGTCATGTACTCAACTTGGCCGATACCCACTGTGCATGCACTCGGCTTGGGCTCAGCAGCAAATCCCTTAACTCCAAGTTGTGGGCTCTTCCAGTTCGCTGACGCTCTCTTGCCAGCTCTGCAGGGAAGCTGTGGTATCTGCAGTGCTTCTCTGATTAAGTCTTTTCTGATTGACACGCTTCCTGGGAAGAGCTACAACGGTTCATTGTAGTACAACTGTGAATTGTTTTTGCACCTACCGCTGTCCTTTCTCCCAGTGTAACTGTCCAAAAATATGTGTCTATATTTAGACCACAGTTGCAGAACAGCCTTGCAATGAAATCTGGGGATATTTGCATGTTTGATGCTGTTAGGGTTCTGCACCCCTTTGGCTGTTTGGTGGTCAGATTGCTGTGTGGTCTCACCCTAGTTCTTTGTTGCTCCTTTTTCTGGAGAGTTGTTTTGCACCAGAGGGGGAGTTGGTGTGTGGGTGTTTGAATGCTGCTATTTGCTGTTTTTTAAAGGACTTCTAGCCCTCCCATGGGGTTACTGCAGCAGGAATTCATACCTGTGCTACAGCCCAGCATACAGACTGCTGACAGGTACCAAGTGGAAAAACCCTGCTCATAGTGTGCTGTGTTTTGTCAACATGTTTTACTGCCCATGGTTTTCAGCAATCTGTTACTCAATATTTATCTTTTTTTTTTCTCCATTTGTGCCTACATTGCCTGGCAAACCATGTTGTTCTATTATAACATTTATTTTTCTTTTTCCCATAAGTTGCCAGTATCCATGTCCTTTCAATTTAATAATCACTGTTGAATTTAAACAGAAATGTAGAAATCCCCCAAAATGATACCGAAGTTCAATCACATATTAGGAAGAGTATAATCCTTTCTTTTCAAGATACTGGTTACTGGATCTGTTTGTAGCTCTCTTCTTCATTTAAGTTGTTCTGAATTCTTTTCCCTGTTTTCCAGCTGTTACATGACACACATCTTCAAAAGCGCTGCTGGCTTGCTCAGTAGCTGTAGGTTGCATATTCTCCTTTAGGTTGTAACTGACCATAGCACTCGGCTGCCAGCAACGTTTAGGACAGTAAAGATGGAAAACAGGGCTTATCCCATAACCTCTGAATATGCTGGAGTATTTTCAGTGCAGTTTTGCTTCACTCAGCCTAGCTCATCAATGAATTGCCCAGTAGTCTCCAGGCTAGTCTCTTCTTTGCCTTTTCCACATGTTACGGAGGTATCTACTGTTTTGGCAGAGAAGTCTCTTCTGAAATGCTGGACTTTCTGATTTAAGTGAAGGTGGGGTGGTATTGTTGGTGAGGGTAATTCCCAGACTTTCCCCTTTCTTATTTCCAGCATCTCTGGATTGGCACAGGTGCCCTCACCCTTTTTTTTAAATTTCCTTTCTGTCTTTCAGTGGGCTTGCTGGGCTCAGTCCAGCTCTTCCTTTCTTACCCATGACTCAGGACTTGTCTCAACGTTAGCATTGTTTTTCTCTCTAATTTAATTTATGCTTCTCCTTTAGTAGTACTAGGGCTCTCATTTCAGGGCATATCTTTTGCTTCCCTTCCCAAGTAGGGCTTGCAGGTAAATGTTACAAAGTCTTGATCTTACCCATCCAGTTCTGGACCAGTGTGAGTAAAGTGTAGTGCTTTGGTGCTGCAGAACATTGTTTTAAGGACAAGATTTAGGTATTGAGTGCTACGGGCCAGCAAGAGGACAAAGAACTGTTCATAAGAACAGCCTTTAACAGGGCAATATCCCAAGTTTCCCCAGCCAGCACTGCTTTAGCTTGCTCAGTAGCTGGACCTTTGTTCTGTTTGAAAACAAGTCCTGAACTTCTGCTCAGAATAAATGTAATCCCTGTCTGGTGTCTAGTATCTCCACAAGAGCTGGCTTCTACTGATGCAGACTCACAGCCTGGCTTGATTTGGGCTTTGTGTTGGCCTGTCAAGTGTTCACTGCGCCTTTCATTAGTCAAAGAGTTATTGGGCCCACAGGATTGTATAGCTCCTTCCTGCATTTTCCTACTGGTACAAGATGCCCTCTGCTCTTTATGGTGGCAGCCATCTGTCCCCTTCCTCCAGAGAAAGCAGGTTCATCTTTTCACTCTTCTTTCAACCCCAGCCATTCATAGAAGTGATTACACGGAGGAAGTGGCATGGGCTGCAAAGGTAGAGAGAAAAAAAATACTCCTTTCCCCAAGCAAGAACTCTGTACATGCTGGGTTAAGAAAAGAGATCTTCCTGTTACCCAGAACAGCACCGTTTCCCCTCCCCTCCAAGAGTCATAATCAAAGCAGTGAAAGCATAGACTTTTGCGGAACTTCTAACTGTTGAAAGACACGTGATTTTTTAAAAAAAAATAGCGTAGTACAGGCTATTTGGCTCTCCTTATAGAAATTCAGGTATGGACAGTAGATATATAGTAAATGACATGCAGCACTTTTAAAATACTGTAGTGCACCAAATAACTGTTATTTGATTTTGTCTGTCTCTCTCCTTCATGGCTTAAGGCATCATACCGTTACCCGGGGTATAACTAAAGGAGTGAAAGAAGATTTCCGCCTGGCCATGGAGCGCCAGGTCTCACGCTGTGGGGAAAATCTCATGGTGGTCTTGCATAGGTTCTGCATTAATGAGAAAATACTGCTGCTTCAGACTCTTGCTTGAATGGACTGGATCATGATGCAATGTCTCTTACGGAGAGAGGGGAAGGCTCTTAATTGTATAAACAGCGGTGTGGCTGTGGAAAATCACTTGTCCAGAGTCAAAGAAGTTCCCTATGAGTTACAGGTTCTGTAATACACAAACACTACTCAGTGTTTGTTCACTGCTTACTTTTCTTATGTGGGTAGATCAAACTTTATAAATAAAACTTTGTTTAAGAAGTCTTCTGTAATGTCCTATTTTTGGGGGTTTTTCTTCCATAGCATTATACTAAGGTGTGCATCTTAGTTCTTTCCATCTTTATACATACACAGAGAACATAGCAAGGTATTTCAGGCTTTTTATTAGCACTAGTTTGGAAATCACAGCATAAGTGAATTTCCCGAGTTGCCAAAAACTAGTATCTCACATTGAATTGGTCTGCTATCTCCTCCTTTTTAGTTGAATTCTACCTGTATTGCTGGTTTTCAGATTCAGGGCCCTTATGTAAATCCATTTTTAAAGAGGATCGCTTTGATCAAACTTCAGTAATATCCAAGTGATTATACAAAGTCAATAGGAACTGGCCTTTCTGCACTCTTAGAGTGTAGCACGTGAAACTTGGACCTTATCCATGCTAGAGGTATGTAACACAAAGGCCCAGAACATGCACAGATGGGCTGCTAAACCTGTAGCAGCAGCATGCTGATTAATAAGCCAGCAGAAGACATCTTTGGCAGCAGGCTTCAGCAGGATCCTAAACCTAAGGTTTTGATCCAAGACCAGATTGGAAGAACACAATGAAAAATAATCAGTTGAGTCACCACTTTCTAGAGCATGCTGTAGCACAGAGGTGCCCCTGAGCTTTCCCAGACAGTCACTGTACCACCAACCCAAGTGCAGGGCTGAGGATGCTGCCAGCGCTGCCAAGTCAAAAAGATGGCTGAGTTAAATGCGTGCCAGTAGCCAGAGTGGCACAGGCATGTGGCAAGTGCCAAGGGTATATGCAAACTCCAGACCATGTGAGTTAGGGGGTGCCTTGTCAGATGCAGTGACTGTTACCACAGTCCCATTCTGATAACCCCTTGCAGTCACCACCCATATCCCTTGCAGTTCGTTTTGTAAGCACCATCAGGCTGTCTTTGCCCAACTGTTGCAGTATGTTGTTTCTCTATATTAAGGAGGGAGATCAGTAAAATATTTACAAAATACAGAAAACAGAAAGAGAGCAACTGCAGTAGACTAGTAAGTTTTTGCTAAATAGAAAAATATTGTCCCTTAAGTCACATAAAAGTGTCTTGATGACTTCCATGGCACTGTAAACTTGAACTAGTATCCCTTTTTAGCAATACTGCCTAGCACGAGTGGCAATATTTCAGGCTAATCCACCTTAGGCACTTGCCCCATCAAGAATCTAGGCCCGCTACACCTTGACCACCTCTATCAGATTTTCCAGAATATCCTTCTCCTGTAAAGTAAATATGATATTATGACCCAAAGAGTTGTTGCAGTGAGGTTTTGAGTCAGATGCTCTGCGTGGGATTGACTGTCTTGCATCTTCCACTTAAAAGGGAAATAGTTTTCAAACACTTCGTGTCCAATGTAGACCAGGATTGAGTTCATTCCTGAAAGTAAGCACAGGTCATACCATCTGAATGAGCAGGTATGAGCTTGCTTCAGAGTAAGCAGGCAGAGGCATGCCAGGCTTATGAAACAGAGCAGCAACAAGATGACAACAGCTAATGTTACTTGCCCCAAAGATGCTACACGTGTGTTTTCAAATACAGTCTGAGGGCCTCTCTCCCCCAAAACGTTTATTGGAAAGAAATACAGACAACATATATGCTAAATTGAAAATACAACCAAATCAGTATCCTGCAATTTTATTGACAAGGAGAATAATCACAGGTATGGTCTTCAGGATGGCCAAGTGCCAGCCTATTTGGTCAGAACTATTGCCTTTACAAACAAATGCTGACTGCCCTTCAAAGCTCTGGGATTTCTGGTAGGAGATACGATACCATGCTGTCACCCTACCCATCTTCCTGTCCAGACACCAGACACCAAAGCTGCTGAAAGGTTCCCTCTGCTGTGGGTTTGCATTCTGTACTCTGATGTTTGTCAAGAGCCCAGTGTGGTTAAAACCACAGTGGGATGCTTTGGGAGACAGGCTTATCTAAAAACACAGAGACAGAACCTACACAGCTGCCCAGGGGATTTAGTCTTCCACATCTTCAGAAGTGGTATTACTCTGTTGACAGGCCTTGGAGTTTCCCATTAGGTTACCCAAGTCGCAGCAGTCCTTTCCAAAACCAACTACGAACTAGCTGTGGTATTTTGCTTGGTACTAGGCAGCAGTTCCCTGGGACCTTAACTCAAGACCAAACTGAGAACAGTCATTGGGCAAGAGCAGCTTCCAGCTCTCATTCTTGACAGTCCCTCTCATAAGTATCTGGTCTCGAGTGTCCCAGTTCTATGCAAAGATTCAGCTCAAGTTAATCATTCTGGCATCCTTCAGGTTACCTCATTCTAAATCCCAATTCTTTTAAAGACAAGGGAAGCACAGAATACATAAAAGTATAGTATCAGTGCAGAAGGAATTGGAAGGAATAAGTTTCCTGCCATGATTTTACTGACCTGGGTAGAAAAATGGAGTACCTGACCATAGTCTCTTGACATCCACAAGGTAATATATCAGCAGTAAGAGGATGAAGGCAAAGCAGCTCATGGTTGTCACATACGATATTGACCTACACACATTTTCAGTAGCAAGATTAGAGAACTATATGATACAGACAGATCTCAAGATAAGAAAGGTATAACATTCTCCAAGGTAAAATAGTACTTTAACAAAATCATACTAAAAGTTGTATGCTTTTTTGCTTTTTGCTTACCATAAGTTCTTGTTTATGGGAATAAACCCTTCTTCTTTAGAACATTTTGTCAAGATAGCAGAAATAATTCCCTGAAATAGAAAGTTGCTAAAGTTTATATAACCACTGCAACATGTTTCAGAAATACCAAGTTTATGTTGCATAAAAATACATGTCTGTTAAAGAGCTACGTAACTATCTGACTTACCATTACTATGCTCCATATGACGAACCGACTCATAATTTGTTTGTGCTGGTCTTTGTAGAACAAGATAATTTTTCCTGCCTAATATAAAAAGAATGCAAAAAATGAATTAATGCCCATAAACGTTACTACATGTCGAGAGCCAGGCATACTTGCCACCGGTTACCGGTGCCAAGACAGAGAACATGAAACAGGATTTGTATCAACTAAGTGGCTGAAAGGCTCAGAATGGGAACTCTTTGCAAAGAATGGACACAAATGGGGAAAATATGTAAATGCAACCCACTCGGCAATAGAGGTGCACCTTTTCTCCCTTCCCTGCTACATTAACACTGAGGAAGGGAACAAGCAACCTTATTAGGTTAACACAATGTGACTCAAGCTCCACCTCCCTCAGCAAGGACTGTGGGAAGGAACAATGCCACATCAACTCCCCAGCCAGCCCCAACAGCTTCTCCACAGCGCCAGGTCGCACCCTGGCCTGCTCGGAGCACACTCCTTTTCAAGCACCACTGAGAAGCGTGTTGTGATGACTAATTCTTCAGTGTCACACTTCTGTTCCAAGCTCTGCCCCACAGAGATTCCCAATCAATTTTTACCCAGTGCTACATGCGGTAATATTCCTTTCCCAGCACAAGAGTTTCAGTTTGGTTAACAGTTGCTGCACAGACAGAAAAGCCAGCAATGACTAACTAGAACTACATCAAAAAGCATCATGATATCCTATTTTAAACACAGTGGTGAGCTGTGAGGTTTTGATGTTGGTTGGTAACACTGATGTGAACCCCTGCCTCCCTGGTGTCTGGGAAGGTGACCACGCCCATAGCACCTATGCAAGACAGCTAACACTGCATATCAAGCGGAAAATTAGCAACGGGGGACATGTACAAGCTGCAACCTTTAAAACCGTATGTTTAAAATGAAGCTGTGAAGTCTATGCGTCTCTTGGCCCTATTTTCCAACATCCAGAGCCAGCCTACTCCCAGCATAAGCCCAACCTTAAAACAAGCAAAGGAAGTTTCTGGGTGGATATTTTGCAAACTTCTTGTGTCCATCCCTTACAAAAACTGAGAAAAAGTCTTGGTTTATCTAGTACAAGCTACTGCCAAGTTAGATTCCACTTCTCTGACACTCACCTCAGGCTAAGTCAGCCTGAAAGCATTGCTCTGGAAAAGGTTTTGTTAGAACCAGTCTCGGCCTTAAATGAAGAAACCAAGTTGCCTCCCCACTTCCAAGATTCCTTCAAATCTTCCCATTATAGCACACAGCCAGAAAGAAAAGAGGTACCTGCAGTCCCAGAAATGCCATAAGAATGGTATTTATGGTCCCCAGGATCCCTTCAGGATCATATGGCATTGTTGTTTGGTAAATCACCTTAGAGAGAAAAGAGTTGTTACAGGGCACCTGAGCAACCAATCTCCTTTCTCTTCCATCCCCCTGCATGTATCATTTCCAAGCCACTCCTGACAGCTATGTTCAGTGCTCACCTGTGGCTTCATGCTGCAAACCAAAAGCTACTTACACTTGAAGAGGGATGCTGATATATATGCTTTTCTCCAAGAAGCAAACGATCAATGTAACCAGCCGCTCCTCCAGTGCAGTTGGGATAGTTTCCAAAGTCTCCAATGCCCCCAGGACCAAGATAGCCCCTAGGACAGAGGCAAACAGCTTATGGCACAAACTGTTGGTACACTCTACCTAAATAGTAGCAGGGCCACTGGCCCAGCCACTAAATGCTCAATATTTTCCCCGGCCAGAGGCACGCAGTGAAACACAGGTCCTACATGACAGCTGGGCGGTGGCCACCTTGTTTTGATTATTGCAATGCCACAAGCAGCTGGGTCACGAGGAGGCAGGCAGTATCGGGAGCCTAAAGCAATGCTTCAGTTGAGCCCTGGCTACCCAGCCAGCTGCTCCACCTGCTCTGCAAGTTCTGACCCTTTAAAGGGGCAAAGATAGAGACAGGGATGACATTGCAATGATCATATATTGCTGTACAAAGACCTCAGGGAGATTTTAATCCTCTTCTTTAGATAGAAAGGAACAATGACATCACCTTTATAACACCTGGTACTTTAGTACCAAAGTAAATAAAGTTTTTTCACATGATGAATGCTTCCTTTAACCCTGCTGGCCTAAAAGCTTTCCTCTTCATTCTTTCCCTATGGCTAATAAAATATATTTTCTACTCAACAGAAGAAAGCCAATCTGATGCCCCACAGAAAGCAGTCTGAGTGCAGAGTCTTACCTGGGACAACCTGGCACTGGTAACAAAAAGGTCAGGCAGAGCCAAATCACTTCTAACATCAGAATGAAAATCCACTGTGGCCAGTAGGGGAGAATATCCTGCAGAGCAGGACATGGCATCTCCTGCATGAGATGGAGGGAGGGGCTTATTAGCTGGCAAGTAAAAAACATGCCCTTGGGGACATCCTGTACTTCCTGGCAGGCAGTCTCCCAGATACAAGAGGGAGCTGTTGTCATTACAGAACTGGGTTCTACCAACAGACCTTTCATCTTCACAAATGATTTCCAGACACTTAGTTACTTGGGGGAGGGAGAGAAACAAACCAAACCAAAACAAAAGCCCACAATGTTTTTTAGCTTGGTAAATGTCAAAAGGGATTTTGATTCATGAGCAGAACAAAAGCTTTTTGGGAAAACAGACTCCAGAAAGGCCAAAAAGCAGTATTACTTTCCCCTGCTGTGAAAAAACACTACCAAAATTAACTGGACAAAACACAGGCCACGGGACTCTGCATACAGATGCCTGTCCCTGGGGTCCCTTGGCAGTGGAAAGTCATCAAAGTTCCTGGGAATGCCTGCTTCTAAGCACCATCTGAATGGATCAGTGAAATCCTCAAATAAAGCAAAGCTAGATATGATAAAGTGCAGACTGGGACACCAAAGAGTGTGTGTTCCCCAAAATTTCTGCCAGGTCACGCTGTACTACACATCAGGTGAGACACTACATTTTCTCATCATTTCTCATGTGGTCTTTTTGCCCAAACAAGAGCAAAAGCTCCCAAACCCTACACCAGCATCACTTGTCATCTCCCCATGTAACTCACCAAGGTCCCACTCTCAGCCCCAGCTCTTGTAAACAGGAGTTCGAGAGCAGCAACCACCAGGTATGTGAATCCCAGCCTCTGGAGCACACCAGGAATACGCAGATTATCCCAGGACACTGGAAAACACGCAAGCAATGTGGAAGAGGAGCAGACATGGGCTCTTTTGTAAATACGAAAGCTACCCTTCTCCAGGGAGAGCTGAGACCCACTGCACCTGCAGGTACAAGGGACATCCCCACTCTGCCACCCCACTTTCTGTAAATCATAACCCTGGGAAAGTCACCACTAAGACGATAAACAGTGGTCGGCACAGGGGTCAGACAGAGAGAACTACATCAGTGCAGAACTGAACAGCACTCTACAGGATACCAAACTGCCCCCATGCAACTGGTCAGTACAGCAAGGCTGACACTGTTTTCTCAACAGCCCAGCCAAGGAGGCAAGAACAACAGTTGCAGAAACACAAGGAAGAGAGCAAGTTCCACTCACATGGTCCAAGGCAGTAATTGGGATTCACAACTATGATTCCCAGCAGGATTAGCAGAAAACTCCTCCAGAGGATTTTCCCAAGCAACTTCTGCTTGGAACTTCCCCGCCTCAGCATGGAGCTCAGTGACAATGATATCGATGTCCCCATGATGAACACAAACCTGGAGAACACAACAGATGGGAAATGGAGCTGATGGATGTCTCATCACACATGTGCATGACAGCAAACACTAAAGCTAAGAGTAGCCTGCATTGGCCCAACAGAAATGCATGCATTGAGTGAAACTGGACAACTTTATTTCCTCTGATTGCTAGAAATTCCCAGACAACTGAACTTGCACTATGGGACCTTTCCACCTCTTCCAGTGGTCAGTTGAGGCAATAAAGTTCAAGGAAGTAATTGCATTCTGGTCTTTTTGCAGCAATACATATGCCACCAAAAAATTCCATTACCCAAAATTAAATTAGCATCTTCAGAGCAGTAAAACACAAGGTGCAAATCTATGATTCAAATTCAGAACTGATCCGCTCCTGCCCCCTAGATTAGGTTCATAGTCCGAGTCCAGCTGCCATCTCCAAGAGTAACCACAACCGGTGCGTATTTTAGAGAAGCGTGCTAGGGGCACATGGGATAATTGCTTCCCTGTAAGACCATTCCCTGGTTATAGAGAGATTAGCTTAATCCAGAATTCCCTCAGCTATTTTATCTCTGGATACATATCAGTCCAGCTTTGGATCTTGCCAGACTGACTGCCTTCAATACAGTAGCGTGGCAATGAGCTCCTTGGGGATACTGCACTTGCACTGGCAGGGTAACCCTGGGCCTCCCACTGACATTGTGTGGGGGGAGGAAGGAGGATGTGGGGCGGCCAAAAGCACTTAGCAATTCTACTGGTTCATAAGGATGATGCTGTTATCTGGAGGGGCAGATTCCTATCAACCGTTCAACGCAAATTCTCCCCTCCAGATACATTTCCACATGGAGGCAAGGTGCACACAGTGTTCTGCTTGCAACCCTTAACATAAAGAATCACTTGACACAAGAACTATTCTTCAGGAAGACTTACCATGGAAACACCAGATCTGCCACTGTTAATCCTACAGAGAAATATGAAGGAACATATTATTTACCTCAAACCCTCCCTAAATTTTAACATTATTGTCGAGTTTCCAGAGGAATTGCAGGCTGCTTGCAATTATCTGATGCCCCCAAATCTAAAACATGTTACAAACAAAACTTACAAAGAGCTAACCATCTTGCTTCACTGCTTTTGCCATTCTTCAAAAATAGGGTCAGAACTGATTGCTGTGTCTTGGGAAAGATTTTAGGGATGGGATCTTTGCTATTCCCCACTAGGGCAGCACAATGCCTGACCCCTTCCCCATCAGCTTGCCAATCAAGGCATTATGTTTGTACAGCATTGAGCACCATCAGCTTGACTGTGGTCATTAAACAACACAGAAAAGTTAAAGATATGAACCTGTGTCAAAAATGGAAAGGTTACACACCGATTGTGATCTGAAACCATCCCATCACTGTGTTGTGATGAGCAGGACTATACACTGCTTTGCCCATTAACCTAACAGGCCAGATACCCTGCTGAGGCAAACTGGCAGAGCGTCCCAGCCTTCAGCTAAGCAACAGCTTGCTGCAGCAGCTGGAATGCTAACCATATCTAGATACCACTGCAGTTAAAACCCAGATTAACTGTCTCAATTGTACTTTACCATTCCAACTCTCATGTTTGAAGAACCAGTATTTTCCTCCTCCATAGTTAACAAACACCATAATTACAAGAGAGAGCCTAGAAAGACAACAAAAAAACCACACACAAAGTATCACATGTCGATGAAATACATATATATGAACACACAGTTAATGTTTACCCCCATTAAAACGTTTATAACTGTGAGATCTGGTTTATTTTATTTTTAAAGCAAGATTATGTACAAGGTTTCCAGCTTTGCCAACTAGGAAGCAGCATTTCAAAGATCATGGGTGGCGGTGAACCGGAGTAAGCTCCTTCACACAGAGTTTTCGCACTGAACATATGTTGTTCTTTTCCACCCTCTGCCACAACTTTAATGTTTCCTCAAACTAGATCAACTGCAAAGTGTTTTGGAAAATCCAATAATTAAAACCTTGATTATCTTCCAAGTGAAATAGACCGCCTTGAACCATCCATCTGCTATATATTTCCATACACTGTCAGATGGCCATTGGAAAAATCCCATTCTTCTTGGAAGAGTTGCTTTTGAGCAAGGTCTTATGCTCACCCTCGGAATGTGTCCAGGGAACGCAGTCGCTGCAGAGAGGCTGTGCTCCTCAAACGCAGGGTGGGATCACTGCTAACAGAGTCTGTTGTGTTCGGGGACCCAAGCTCCTTTGGGAACAAACCAGACACACGAAGGACAAGTCAGCAGCTGCATCAGCCGCCTAGGGAACAAAGGCCATCAAACTGCAAACTTTCACATACTGTGTTTGTCTTTGTTCTCCCCATCTTCCTTTTCCTTTTGTTTCCCCACTTGCTACTTCTAGCCCCTTCATGGCTCCACCATATTGCAATAATATTTGCAGATGCTCCACACTCCACCTTTGACCAGGATGGAAACAATAATACAGTGAAAAGAGCCTGTGTTTGAGACTCATGATAGTTGGGTCCAGTCCAAATCAGCCACAGAACTGCTATCACTGTGAGTGCTGCTTTACAACAGAGCTGAGCAGATCCAGTTGCTGACTCTCAAACAGGATCCATCCCATGCCACTGGCACTTTTCTGACACGTCAGAGAGATTGTTTGGAGAGCTAAACCAGCAGAAAATGAATCGTTTTAAACACAGGAGTGGCTTCTCTCCAATCAAGTTCCTAAATCACTCTGATCAGCCGCCAGTGACAGCATAGAGAAGCAGACATCGCTGTAACACAGCTATGGAGATGAACAACTACAAGAATTGCTGCAGCTCTGCTCCCAAGTCTTTTGATTCTAGACATATTTGGAGCGCCTAGATGTGAAGCCCAGACTGTGATGATCTATCTATATTCTAGTACAAAACAAAGCTCACATAGAAATGCCAGCTCTAGGGCTGCTAGAGAAATCTTGACTTAAGAGTAGATCCTGCTAAAATTTCTACTGTGCTGGAAGCAGACATGAAAGCTGGCATTTCTTCCCTTCCCTTACATTGTCTGCGTCAGAAGGGGACAGTATTTTCACCAACATGTTTGCTTCAAGGGAACTAAAGAGGGCACAAAGCTATACGTTCAAGACTTGCAAGAGTTCTACTGGGAATCCACTAAACTTGCATGGAAACCCAGTCTAGCACTCTCCATTGACATACAATTGCCTGGCTGACATCAATACAAGATTTGCCAAGGGGAACGTGCACAAGGGGAAGATGATTAGTAATAAACAAGTCCCCAGATGTCCAGATAGCGTGTGTTCCTGAGAGATGAAAACACTACAGAATGCAAATGAAAGATACTGTGGTCACTCACAGAATTAATCAGATGATCAGTTTCTCTGGGGTTCAGTTTCTTGTAAACCCAGTTTCTGACTGGATCAATTCTGAAAATTATTAACAGTTTAAAACACAAAACAAGAAATACTTTATAGCCAGTTTCATCTTAATATTAACTATTTAGCAGCATAAATCAAAAGCCGTGACAGTCCCTATTTCTGTTTTCCCGGCTCACACACATAATACTGAGATTCAGTACCTGGGACCTCAGTCAAGCCCACCTAAGTAATTACACTGCCACAAGCTCAGGTTCAGGGGCTTTATTCTCAGGTTGTTTACAGGCAGGGATGACTCACATCATTCAGTACACAGGATAGAAGGCTGCATATGCTACACATGCTTAGGTCCCACTGACTCGTATTACCGATTCAGGGCTAGACCCAGGAACAAGCCACGGGAGGATGAGGCTGGGCGTGTGTGAGCTTACAGCAGACATCAGCTGCTCTGCAGTAACCACTCTACACACAAGCTAACAAGGCTGCAAGAAACCCCTCAAGGGAAATCGTATCACTCTGGATTTATTATCACATGGACACCTACCACAGCTTAACTTGTACATGGCAGCCTGGTAACAGGATCTGATCTGCAAACAGGGCTTCGGTGGGACTCTGAAGCTCTACCACACTATGATGTATGTTTTTAAACTGGTGTCCCCACTTCATGTGCGAGGAGGTATTAAAATACTGTTCACTTACTTCATAAAAAGGCGCCCCACAATCAGGATAGCAAGGATCCCCATGTAAACCAGGAAAGCAAAGAGAATAGCTACATGAAAGAGAGAAGAACACAACTCTATAAATGGTCTAACAAAACCATTCCACAGCCTGGGCTTGGCCAAGCGTGACACAAACATGACAAAAAGCCCAACCCACCTAATCATCACACCACCTTCTCCATGCAATACATATCCCCAGCCTAAGTGCCAGAGAAAAAAACAACCCACAAGACCCCAAAACAACCCAAAAGAAAAGCAGGCTAGTTTCAAAGTGCAGCTCAGTGACTGCACATCTCAGCATAAAAAAAAGGCAAAATACAACTGCACTGCATCACAAGGCAATGGTGAGAAAAGACTCAATGTGCTATACGTTCTGAAGAAGAAACTAGAGATTTAGAAACAGCCTCAACAAGAAGAAGACAGGGGAGAGGTAATACACCAGGTCTGCAAGCATGGGGAATTTTTCTTTACAGCTAGAAAACTGGAAGGATGAAGAATAACCTAATGTAAAGGAAAAGAATGGAAGAGATATAGACGAGAGTTTGAAAGAGCCCTGGAAAAGAGATGGACAAAAAAGTCAGATGTGAGGTTTAAAATCAAAAGCACAACAACAAACAAAAATCCAAATACTGTATGAATTGTCTCCCATTTTGTGTGAGAGGCAAGACAGAGGGAAGAAGAGGGAGGATTTTGTGCCCATACATAAACATGCAGGGAAAGAGGAACTAACTACAAAAATACCTCCCTCTGGGCACACACCCACTTATTTTTCTGGGCTAATCCCTGCCTCAAAAAAGTTGTGGTCATACAGTTTATCATGTGAAGAGGCTCAATCCTGGTCAGGACCTCAAGACAGGTGTATAAAATGTAAGGAGGTAAGATGCTGAGAGAGGAGCAAGCCCACGACACATCTTCAGCACAGCATGAGTGGCTGCACAGGCTTTTTAGGAAGTTGGCTCTGCTGGGAGACATGCAAGTTGTAGAATGAAAGGGGAAAACAGAGCATTACATACGGAGGTAGCTGTTGATAGGGCCTTCATTGATGACTAGGTCACAAGAAACAGTTTTGGTGCTTGCACTTAGGGTCTTTACCACAAGGGAATAATTGCCAAACTCTCCAAAATGATACTGAATCCTGCAAAGGATAAAGGAAACGAGACTTGCTGAGCCATCACCACTATGTGCAGGCACCACAGCAGCATTTGGGGGGCTGTAAGCCTGAATGCTTGTAGGAAAGGCAAGCTGAAAACTTGGCCTAACAGCGTGATCTAGCAAGGAGCTACCTGGCTCTGCCTTTGCCAAGCATTATCCTCCCCTAGCCCAAGACATATGCTTTACCACACATGCACTGCCTGCTACATCACCTGTCTTCTTGAACTACAGACTCTCTGCAAGAGAAACTACGTGCTTGCACATGCTTGGCTCAACGCATACCACGTCGGCTCCTGCTTGCGCCTAGAACCTTTCAGCACAATTACAACGTACACCACAGCTACAGCAGCATGGGGAAGACTGAACTCTAGGTCTAAACAGTCAGGAAAACAGAGGTGATGAGCAGGCAATAAATAGGCACAGAACTTCAAGAAAAAGCCCCAAAATACAGGATAGAGCTATCCATGTGTTTGCTGGGGCTGGGCCACATACTTGCAGAGCTCTCTGTCACCCACGGAGCCGTTGAGCAGCAGCGTGAGTGGATGCTGGGTATCGACCATTACCACCGCCACGCCAGGTTTTCTCAGGCTCCCGTTGCTTGGTGGGACAAACGCCAGGACCTGATACAAGCACTGTGGAAGAAGAGGGTGAAGGGAGCTCCTTAGTGCCAGAGGAGAGTGAAAGGGGTCCTGCTTTGTATCGCGGCAAAGGAAAGGACAAGGGACGATGCCCAGGGGCCACAGCAGCTCTCACACACACACACACACACACACGGCACGACCCCTCCGCGGCTCCCTCCGCTCACCTGGTGGCAGGAGCCGGAGAGGGCGGCGAGGCGCAGGCCCTGCGCGGGCAGCTCGTTACGGACGAGCAGCAGGGCCTGGT